TTTCCGGCGACATGGCAAAACTACTATTTCTGATGCAGTTGGTATCACAGCAATCTGGCAAGGACGTGTCAGGAGGCGTGAATGGGGCCCACCCCTTGCCATCATTGGTTGTTTTTCATCTGAGCACGCCACTACTGGCAGAAAACACAGCCGCGGAGTGGGTTCATCCCACGACTCCTGAGACTGCCTCGTCGGACTGCAATGATATTGGCCATAGTTGATCAAAAGTTTGCACCGCCCCACCTGCCCCCCCCTAGTCGATGGGGGAAACTTCCGTAAAGGAAATCGTATGATAGACCCTGGACACTCGCTAACACCTTATCCCTAAAGATTCCCAAAGACCTTGGTAAAGTCCCTGGGTGCGTTAGAATACAGCTCTCCCCTCCCCCAGATTTCTCACACGGTAGCCCCATTTCACAACTCACTCCCCTTCCAGCACCCTTTTTTTCAAAATTTTGTCGCTGAAGGTAGACACTTCCCGCCAACCATGAGGAACAGTTTCAGATCGCACCGCACCGCCAACTGAGGGAGGTTACGTAACGCGAGCAAAACACGGAGAGTCAACCATCAGAAAAATTTCCGTCGCGGCAAAACCGGCCCCCTCTATCTAGCGATCAGCTACGTCCCCCCCCCCTTCCCCGTTGTGTATTAAACAACAGAGGGTGGGTTCTGAAACTCGTCACTACATCCCCACAGCGCTAAACGGCTTATCCTTTCAGTCTTTTTGTGAGAAACTGTACAGTTTTAGGTGAACCCAAATGACGTGCAGCAACAGCAACAACTTTATTATAATCCCGGAGCAAACCAACAGCCAATCCAGCAAGGGCAACCTCAGTACAGTCAGGTACGTCAGCTTGTGTTTGACCTGTGGAATGGCAGCCCAGAGCTCCCCCTCGACCAAAATCAATCGATGACATAGGAACTTTACATTTTCAGACCTATCCTGGACAGCAATATGATCAGTCGTTGCAGTACCCTCAACAACAGCAACAACTACAGTACTATACTCCACAGCAGGTCCTAGTGGTTTCCTTTTAGCAATCTGAAAACGATGTCATGCGATCATGGAAGAAGGACAAAGATAGAGAGTACCAACTAGCCAACTCACGTTACCTATTTGAGCACTTCTACGATGACTGACTAGCCCTTGGAAAGGGGGGGGAGGACGCGGGGGGTAATGGGTCGACTACGATGGAATCTAGCGCGTTATGTGAGGAATGGAAGAGAGAAGAGTTAAGCGAAAATCACCTTGGACCAGAAATGGGAATACCCCAACAAGAGTGAGTATACTGTACTGATATAGGTTCCAGAATTTTTCCACTTGTCAAAAACTGGGTAAGAAGTACTTGCTGAATGGCAATCCCAGCTTTGCACGAGAGAGGGTCCCTCTCTCAAGCTGGAATACAGCGTGGCCGAGATTTGTTCCAGTTGTCCTCTCCTTACCGAGGACGCTCGGAGATCCAACGGATCGACTGAGTGATAGGTGGAACGGAGCCACTCATTCTATAATTCTCGCGTCTTAATCTTGGAGATTCCTTTCTGTTTTTTACATTGCAGTTGTACTTTTCTGAGGTCTCTTTGCGTATCCCTGCCCTGCCAGATAACTAGGCGAGACCGGAACCAAAACATCGAATGGTGCATAATGGCAAGTCAGGAAAAGGGCTTTTTTTTGATGGGCGGGGATTCCGAGATGGGTGAAGCGTTTATCAAAGCCAGGAAAACGTGCGTGGCGTGCGTGACGTCGTGCGTGCGTGCGTGCGTGCGTGGCGTGGCGTGCGTAGCGTGCGTGCGGTCGGTGCGTGCGTGCAGTGGCGTTGTGTGTACTGTGGTCGTGTGTGTGTGTGTGTGTGTGACTAAAGATCGCCGAAAGAGGCCGATGCAAACGAGAGGGTAGGAGCAACTTTCGAGAAAAAAACTGATGTGGTTAAAACAGGTTTAAAGTGGTCCTAGGTCCCCGGCCCGTCCTTCCACAGAGAGTTATTAGCGCTATTTGTTAGTATCCAGATGCTCAAATGAATGATCAGGGTCTAACAATTGACATCTTCAGCAAAAAGAGCAACCAGTATATTTTCAGCAAGGCCAGCAACAAGTATATACTCAGCAAGGCGTCGGACCAGCTCAGCCAGGTCAACAGACGACCAGTTTATCGACCAATTCCGCTAACAATGGACGAAAATAATCACAATAAAGCATTTTTGAATGAGACAATTTTGTCTACACTACTTTTCGAAATTCTACGTCCTCACAGAGATCAGAAATGCCTCATGATTTCACGTGATCTGTTTCAGCTTTTATATTGTGCACATCCAAGGGGAACAAGGGGCATGACTGGCACGTCGATGGCTGCGACCGAGAAAGAGGGCCAGTGAGGTGTACACAAGGGAGAAGAGTCGGTTTGGAACTGAATAAAAAAAATTTAGTTAGTGGAGTCTACTACCACTCACGTTATGCGTCTTCACAACAATGTTTCTACGCTTTATGAAAATTAGAGGTGCAGTAGAAAAAGGATTACTTCGAATTTTCGAATATTTTCTGAAGGATTCAGTTATCTTTATTGTCCTTGAGTTCCCTATTTTCTTGGTTCAAGAGTGAGTCGACCATATCCTTAAGCTAAAAAAAGCAAAATCACTGGCTCATTTCGCGATGCCCGGATGGGCGAGAGAAGTGGACTACGACTTCTCCATTGGCGCACACCTTTCCTCTTCATCATATAAAATTTAGGAGCGCGCACAATCGAAGAAGGCAGCAATCCCGAGTCACCGCCCAATCCGTCTTGGAAAATGATGTTCAAACAGACAATGAAGATAGCTTTTTAGGCTATAGGTGTTGGGAGGGAAGAGGGGGGAAGGGGTTCATCAATAAAGGATGAATAAAAAAAATAACGTCAGCAAATATTGAAAAGAAAGGCACATTATCGACGGGGATTCCCGATAATGGGGACATCTTTTCGACTGTCCTCATCCGTGGAAATGGGAGAATGTGTGAAGGGCGTCGAATGAAGGGCAGCCATGGCGGTCATTTTCGCCAGTTGATACCATCCTGAGACCGCAAGTTGGTGTAGAAGGATGTCTTGGCTGCGCTGTATTCCACGCCCATTCACACCCCCCTATTGTTTTCAGGGACGATAGTTTTAAATTAGGTGAGAGCAACCAACCGGAGTTTCAGCAGAGGATCTGTTTGCTTCTCCCCCGAGCAGATTTTAGGGCAGAACCAATGGAAACGGTTGAAATAACCTACTAGAGGAGTTCGTAGCTAAGAATATTTCGCGGATGATGTGCCCAGGTACAGGAATAGCGATGTACTCACCAGTGAAATTTCGGTCTGTACTGACTCGTCAGATTCTTCTTCTGATTCTGATTCAAGCAATGATCGTAGCACGGATTCGATATATCCCACAGATGAGTCGCTCAGTGGGCAGACCTGGAGATCCTCGCCAATACCCATGTAACACAGGGCCGGTAGAGTGCTCTTTCTTCCAAGTGCAACTCGTCCAGGACCAGTGAGTGCTCGTCCACATCACTATTCAACATGGCGAATATCACATCTGACTGGAAGAATAACATGTAGTACCAATACAAGTGTTTCAAACTGATCAATCTGAAGAATCAATCGACAAATCCATTAGAAGGGAACGTCTGACAGTAGACCCACGTTGTGGCGACGCACACAAAAGGAAAGCTAGTACAGTCTTGCTTCGCTGTGGATGATGGGGTGTGTCACTAAGGCGGAATTTAGCGCGCCGCAAGGTCGTTCTCCACCAGTGGTTGAAGCGAGGTAAGCAACAACAACTGTGGAAAACGACTGATACGAGCGATACGATGCGGTTTTGCAGAAAGAAAAAAGGAAAAAAATGGGTCGCGTGAAACCCATCCCCCGGACACGCCCCATCATCTGCAGCGGACAAGACTGTTTCAGGCTACTTAGCATGTACACCACTACCGCATTAAATCAGCTAGATCCTGGCGCGAATGCCGCGCACGTGACTGTGACTGCAGCACTCGGAAGGGTGAAGTAGTGGTGTCAGTGCAACTCCCAAATTTCCTGTTCCATTAGGGTCCCCCTTCCGCGGGACCCTTTCAATGTAGGGTATTATAGTCACCTTATGAATTGGGTGATTGATATTTCCACGCAATCAAAATTCAACGGCAACATTGTAACTCTCCTCAGGCGAAACTGCCCAACCAGCACCGCTCGGACGAACGCTGGACCGACGAGGTTCTGCCACGCGGACACCGCGTGATTCGGTACGCCGGAGAGTTTTCAGCGGGTCGTGTAATTTCTCCACCACTGTAGCACGAACCCTGTTGAGCTCCTGCGCCGACCCGGTAATTCGAGAAAACGTTTAGGGATCAAGCGGACACACCTGTGGATCTTCCATCTTCTTTCAAGTAAACAACCGCCCTGCAGCCTCTCACAAAGAGTACGCTAGAGGTTTTTTGATTCATGAGTGGCATCCATCTGTAGCGGTAGCGAAGTCACAAAGATGGTAGCACGGCAGAGCGAACATGAATGGCCCGGGTATTACTGCTGCGCCAGTTGGCTCCACTGTACGTCAGCGTTCACCCTTTGCAGTCAAAATCCGCGAAGAAAAAAAAATCGCGTCTTTACCATCAGAACTCTCGGACCAACCCGCCCATGGCGACTGGCGGGTAAAGATGATGTCCTGGACCGTAGCGACGTTGTCGGAGCTGCTCGATGTTGGAGGTCTTCCAGATCGAGAGTACTGGTCTCCAGGTAGCTATCCATGGGTGACTCCATACAAGAAGTTTCGCAGCTGTTTGGAGGTGACGTGAATTCCATAGGCCTTCTCCAGTCAGGCTGCGATTGGAGATGGCTTCATATTTTGGTGTACATGAAGGTGATGGACGAGAGTTCCCTTCTGCTTATCGAGGAACATCTGAGGTATTGTCCGCCCTAGTTCTATTCTTCTGTTTGGGCTGCGTGAACTTTACTGATAACTTTACCGATTTACTGATGTGACTCAGCCAAAGTGCCTTTTTTGCCTCCCCCCCCCAATAGGTGCTGGTTCCTTCACTCAGCAAACGAAACGTTTTAGCAGGAATGTCGGCAAAATCTCATATAATTTGAAGGGTGAGTTTAATGTAATTCTTATTCCGAATACCCAGTTTGCCGTGACAGCGAGTGTAGCCCAAATAAGCATTGAACACTTCCCTTGCAATAGAAGGATTAAGGATAACGTCTCCGCCGTTGACCAATCCTTTTGTGGGATGCGGCACACACTCTACTTCCATTCAGAATCGTAGTGGCTTAGTGAAATTTACCGCTCCCGGAGGGATGAAGGCTTGGTTGAACCGCGAGGGAGTCGACTCAAGATTTGTACCCGAGACCGCGCAGGTGGTAAGCGCGCCACTTGTCACTACACCACCTCCGCCTATTTCCCTGCAACGCAGCAACAATACTGACCAAAATGGACTTACCCGTTGACTCTTCATCGCTTTGCGAAAATTGCGCTCGAACTCCGTACCATCTTCTGTACACGATTTTGTTAGAAGCAATACACGCTCCCGGTCATAGTCTTCTAGAAACGCAATCACGTTTTCCGAGTCCAGTGTGTATAGCTTGGGCTCTTCCTGAAAAAGGGTGATCAAAGTTCCTCTGCTTTTACTAATACAGATTTGGGCGCTATGTGCCTGGGGGCGGGGGAGGGGGGAGGGGGGTTAGTCCGGAATTTAGTGTCAGAGCTAAACTAGCCTACAAGTTCCGAGATGGGACGTAGCTCCAAGATGGTGAATCACTCACAGTTCCTGAAAAACTGGAGCGTGTACTTATTAGTCTTGGAGCTCTCTCCACGCTTCCCGACACCGCTTGAATTCGTCCGTCGCTGGTACGTTCCAGTAATCGGTGGAGAATAGGCTGATGCGGCGCCAAACCAGGCCCCCCTGACATGCCCCACCATCCGCAGCAGACACGTCTGTAACGCCCTGCTTTCACCCCTTGAAGCGGCTGCCCTCTCCTTCTCAAGAATGGGCTAAACGCCTTTGCCACGTGATCACCTTCAGGTGCAACAACTCTTTTCATAGACTAAATGCCAACCTGAAAAGATGGTCCATGGAGACTATAGGCGCCGGTGTTGTTATCACCTGGCACGCACGGGGACAAAAAATCGCCAGGTACAGGGAATCGTCGAGAGTAGGGTAAGGTCATGACTACTGACATTAATGGCAACCCCTTCTAGCATCTCCTACATGACCGACTATCCCTTGGAAGCGGGGTTATTGGTCGACTACGAGGGAATCGAGCGCGTTATGTGAGGAATGGAAGAGGCAGTTAGGCGCCATTATCCTTGTAACAAAATTGGGAATACCCCGACAAGGATGAGTATACTACTTGAAATTAGCTCATCTTTCAGGGAGCTCTCCCCCCCCTTTTAGGTTTCGGTTGAAGTCTCCGCATCTTGAGGAGAAATTTCTCAAAGTGCGATCTTCCTCAAACCTTCCTCCTCTTGTGCTACTACATCCCCACCCCCTTCTACATACATCTTCCCAAATTCTATCACAGTCCTATCCCTTCATTTCCGGAATTTCTTCTACTGCCGCAGAGCGGCGGGATGAATAGCGCACGTGAACTGGAGAATCCGAAAAGAGCCAGCAACTGCAAACATATGGCACACGCGACAACCCCCCCCCCTCGCTGGGGACATCCAATGTAGACGTGCCCAGGCACGGTAACCCCACTTTGCACAATTAGCCCTTCAAACCCACCAATTCTCCTCCCTCCCCCCCCCCCCGCAGGTGTTACGCAACTACTCAAACTTTTCCGCTTTTCCGGCCCTGCTGCCTCTTGTGCGACCCCACGCGCAGACAGAGAGAGTACAGCGGCTCCAAAATACAGGAAGGTGAAAACATGTGCAGAGCCACGGAAGGAGACTCCGGGGTGGATGAGCCACTCTTTGTGCGTGAAGAACTGGAGTCACTGTGCTGGACTCCCCCCCCCCCAGCCCGTAGTCCCCTCGGATCAGCCCGCAGGTTAATAGCGCTGATATTCGTTGCATATCCAGATGTTCAAAATGAATGATCCAGTATTATTTGACATTTTTAGCAAAGCCAGCTACAGATGTATACTCAGCAAGGTGTCGGACTAGCTCAGCCAGGCCAGCAGGCGACCGGTTTGTCTACCAAGTCCGCTAACAACGGACGAAAATAATTGCAAGAAAGAATTTTTGAATAAAACAATTTTGTCTACACTGCTTGTGCAAAATTCAACGCTTTACGGAGATCAGAAATACTCAATGGTGTCAAGTAATCTGTTTCAACTTCTATACTGTCCATACCTGAGAGCAAGAGGGGCATGGCTGCGAGTGCGGCGATGGCTGCAAAGGTCCCGACGAAAGAGGGCCGGTGACGCGTATACAAAGGAGGAGAGTCGGTTCGGATTGAATAGTTAAAGAAAAACTGAGAGCTGTCTATTAGCATTCACTTTATACTCTTTTTTTCTATGCTTTATCAAAATTAGTGGTGCTGTAGAAAAAGGACTATTTCAAATCTTTTGTGTTCTTTCTTGAGGGATTCAGTTATCTTTCTTGTCCTGGGTTTCCCTATTTTCTTGGTTCAAGATTGAGTCGACCACATCCTTAAGCTAAAAAAAGCAAAATTTCTGGTTCATTCCGCGGTGACCGGATGGGCGGGGGAAGGGAGATCTTCATTGACGCACCCTTTCTCTTTACCATATGACATATAGGAACGCGAGAAAGGCAGATAAGGGTTTTGCTTATTTCTCCACCTTCCTGGTCACCACGCAATGTGTCTTTGAAAATCTTTGAAGATGTTCAAACAGAAATGAAATGCTCTTTAGGCTATAGGTGCTGGGGAATGAAGGGGGAGGGGGGGGGGGGTTCATCAATAGGGGATCAATAAAAAATAACGTCAGCAAAGATTGCAAAGAAAGGCACATTAGCAACGGGTTTCCCCGATAAGGGAGACATCTTGTCGACAGTCGTCATCCGTGGAAATGGGAGGGTGTGTGAAGGGCGACGAAGAGCAGCAATGGCGGCCATTTTCTCAAATTGATGCCATCTAGAGACTGCACCCATTGGTAAAGAAGGATCGATCTTGGCTGTGCTTCTATCCACGCCCATTCCCACCCTCATCTTGTTCTCAAGGATAATGTTTTTACATTAGATGAGAGCAGCCGACCGGACTTATAGCAGAGGATTTGTTTGCTCCTCCCCCACACCTTCCCCCAAGCATACTTTGGGGTATAACACCCCTCCCCCAAGCAGATTTTGGGGTAGAACCAACTAAAACGGTTGAAGTAACCTGCTAGAGGTGTTCGTACCTAGATGTATTTTTCCGATGTGTTTGAGGTACAGAAATAGCGATGTACCCACCAGTGAACTTTCGGTCTCCACTGACTCGTCAGATTCGTCTTCTGATTCCGATTCGAGCAATGATCGCAGCACCGATTCGATATATCCGACAGATGAGTCGCTCAGTGGGCAGACCTGGAGATCCTCGCCAATACCCATGTAACACAGGGCCGGTAAGTGCTCTTTTTCCAATTGTAACTCGTCCAGGACCAGTGAGTACTCGTCCACATCACTATTCAACATGGCGAAGATCACATCTGACTGAAAGATATAACATGCAGTACATTTCGGAATGGTACAGTTGAGCGCTCTATCGTTCAAGTTAGTTTATCGTGGAACCGCCCACGTCACAACCAGTGCCAAACTGGTAAATCAAGCAAAAGATGGGGCAGTTCGGCGACGGGGGGGGGAGGGCATTTTGCTACTTTTGCTATTTCCCGTCAACATGCCTACCCATCTAGAGAGCCTTTTCTTGAGTTAACACCATGATGACTCGATGGGCTTGCTCCAGCTTCACAAGAGTTCAAGGTTCACCTGGTTGATACTTGTGAACCGAGACTAGCGAAGCAGCGAAAGTGCAAACCCCCCCCCTCCCCTCGCCGAACTGCGCCTCGTCAAGATAATTTGTTTCAAATTGATTAATCTAAAGAATCAATCGAAAAATCTACCTGAAAGGAACGTCTGAAGGGAGACCAACGCTGCGGTGACGCGCACAAAAGAAAAGCTAGTACAGTCTTGTTCGCTGCGGATGATGGGGCGATCATAAGGCAGAATTCGGCGTGCAGCAAGCTCGTCCTTCACCAGTGGTTGAAGCGGGTAAGCATCATCAACTGATGGAAAACGACTGATATGAGCGATACGATGCACTTTTGCAGAAAGAGAAAAAAGAAAAAATGGGCTGCATCAATCTCCCCTGACATGCCCGATCATCTGCAGCGAAAAAGACTGTACTTTCAAGCTACTCGGCGTGTGCACCACTGCAGCACTGAGTCAATTAGATCCTGGCGTGAAGGCGCGTATGTGACGAGCGACGCTAAGGGTGCAGCATCGCGATGGGTGAAATGACTGTACTAATGCATTTCCCCAGTTTCCTTTTTCGATTTATCCTCTACTTCGTTTACCAGTACGATCCCTTATCATGCCTACCTACAAGCATCCCGAATTGTTCCCGTTTCCTACAGAGGTCAATTTCACCACTTCACCTTCAAAACACTGCCAGAGGCCCGAAATGACCCACCCCAGTCGCGTTTTCTACCAATAGCGATCGGTTACTTATTGATTCGGAAAGAGAACAACCGATGGGCCCATCTCTCGCCTCCTAACACCGCCCTGGTGACGCCGTTCTCACCTCAAAGTAGATGTGAGGAAAGTCATCCAGGGCGCTGAGTTTGGCACTACGCTATCCTGTTCTTCATCAGCCGTAGAAGCTGCGCACGCGCTCACAATTGGTGGAGAAAAGGGTGGCGCCGCGCACAACCTAGCCCACTGAAACGCCCAAGCTTCCGCAGCGAACAAGGCTGTATACACGTGCTAATTCTGACTTGCCTACGGATCATTTTGGCAGATATACATTCTTTGAGCCCATTTTCCCGTGAGAGCGAGGACACCCCAAAAACACTGAACACGTCCTTTGGGACATAATAACAATATCGAACAAAATACGCTCACCCTCTGACTCTTCATAGCTTTGCGGAAGTTGCGCTCAAATTCCGCACTATCTTCAGTCCACGATTTTGTTAAAAGCAACACACGCTCCTGATCATAGTCTTCCAGAAACGCAATCACATTTTCGGAGTCCAGGGTGTATAGTTTAGGCTTCTTCCTGAAAAAGTCCGACCACAGTTTCTCAGTTTCTTGGCAATGAAGCTTCGTAGTGGCGCGATTTGTGAAGAACTGAAGTGTGTGCTCAGAAGCAAAACTCTTTATGTCCTTCCCAATCTCGCTTTATAATCAAAGGTTACTCTAGCGCTAACACGAAAATTGCAGACAGATCCCCCTCGAGGCATATACAGTCTTGTTCGCTACGGGAGGGAAGCTGAGTTGGGCGTAACGCCAGCCGTTTTTCACCAGCTGTTGTCGCTTGCTCGCTTCAATTGGAACAGGCCCGCCCCAAACCCAACCCCTCAGACAGGGTACAGCATCGTTGTGTGAACACATGGGAGGGGGTCGTATTTGGGGTAGTTGATTTTTTCTTGTGGAAAAGTGGGGTCGTATTATTCGTATTAATATTTTTTATACGCATATGCATCTGTACGCCCAGTGGGTTACTGGCATAGTTATTTTGTATACCCCCCACACAACCTTTTCGCCCGACTATACACTCATCGTCTCGTCGTCGGGCGAAAACGCAGTGGGTGGGGGGGGTCGGTGCCTCGGACCTCATTCCGAAGCGAGGATCGTACTCACACCGACATTTCGCACATCCCCATGCTGTACCCTGCCCTCAGATACGCGTCTGCAGCGAACAAGGCTGTTACGCTCTGATTTCTTTCCCACAAAGCAACCGCCTTCCCCTTTTCTAGAAGCCATATTCTGTCTAACTGCTCACCTCCACATAGAACGCGACTACTTGGTGGGCTAATTGCTGATCTAGGAACCGTTTTTGGCGCTGCGGGCCGGCAGCGCTTGCGTCCGTTGCCTCCATGAATCGATCAGGACAATGCCAATTCGTTTAGAGCTAGTTGAGCCGATTTTTTGCAACGAGATGAACACCCCGCTCAAGCCACACTACCGAAGGACCGAGCTGTTGGAGTGAAAAACCGAACTCACCTCCATGACCGAATAGAAACTCTGAGACACCCCAAAGGACTACTGCGGCAACAAGGAAAAGGTCGACGCTATCAACCGTATGAGCGATAGTTTCGGTTGTTCTTTCAGAGCCGATGAGATATCGCTATGTATCATCAAATACAGTAGTAACAAAAGAATTGAGGTACAAGGGAAAGCGCTATGCCTCAGTAGAGCTCGCAAAGCGCTATGCCTTAGTAGAGATCGAACCCGAACGTCGTGTTTTCTGAGCAATCGCCTTACCAAGCTAGAGGCTACGTATTCAAAAGCAGGTAAGGTTGGAATACTCCCGTACTTGACCGAAGTTTCAAAGAGAAACTTACACTGACCTCTCATGAGGGTCGCTTCCATGCGCAAGGCGGCTGTCCCACAGTTGCAGTGAGCGTGCCACTACATCCACTTGCTTAAAAAAAAAACACGGGAATCGAAGGAGGGTAAGAGATACCCGACTCAGTTTCATAGCCCAACCGCGCTATCCTCAAGGTGGAGCACTTCCCTCGATACCAAGATTTTGCAAAAGTGGACCACGTACTCGACGACAGAGAACAACCATAAGCGAGAAGGCGCAGACAATTAGCGCTATTGCTCATGATTAGGTGTAAGGCTAGCCGCGGGTAGCGTGAGCGGAAAATGGTGCGTCCACCCAGGCATCACTATCCACGCTGGCTTTTACCTGCGACTACTGCAAGCTGGACCCATTCATCCCACACAAACAGGTAAGGAAGCACGGTGCACTTTATAATCATCTTGCGTCAAACCAACTCCGGAACTGGTCAATCGAATGCAGTGCCATCGCAACACAGATGTCCTGACCCATACCCAGCATATTCTGTCAGCACGACACTGCTCTCGAATAACCTCCCTAACAAAGACTGACATTTCGAAAAGAACGCTGGCTAGTGCCAAGTAAAATCTCTTCTACAAATGAAAGCGACGTTTATTCAGTGAAGCAAATACTACTCATATAGCGAGTAATGTAAGAAGTTATGTCACAGATGTAAGAATTTTACAAGAGATCTTCAATCAGTTAAGGCAAAAGTGAGATAAGAGAGGTTTCAGTTAAAGGCAAGGAGAGTGGGTCGTTATATCCACACTGTGGCGACTAGTACAAACTAATTCGCAACAGCTAGTTAGCTGGCATTCCTGACACGACATTCCTAGTTAACTAAATTAGGTCCTGGTGCGAACGCTGCGTACAAGACACCGCCTGCAGCTCCGCCTTTGTCACATCGCCTCAACGTGGATGTAAAAGCCCTATAAAGGCAAGTTTTTTTTTTGAGATATTTACAGGCTGCTTCCAAAGGTAGTGGGGCACGATTGCTGAGGGCGGGCGGTTGGTTGTCCGCGTCATTCGTGGAGCGCTGCGAGAGAGCGTCGGCCACACCCACTCAGCCCTTCCGCCAAAGACATTGAGCGCCAACCCCCGCCCCCTGCAATCTTGGCGAAAGAGAGTTATCGAATGATAATTAAAATGCTCTCAGAAAAATAATCAGTGAAAGAAAACCATTAAGACTTCAAGATGACATCGACAAGACTTAGAGTTAGTTCAATGCACAATTACTTTGATGATGTTTTACATATTTTACAGTATCGTACTGGTTGATCTAGCGGATTACTTCTTACTTCTTTTTCCTCTGATTAGAAGAGCCTGAACGACCAGACACAGTTTCCTGAAAAAGAGTCCGGAGCTTCGGGGACTTACTTTATACAGTAACGTCACCTACCGTTCGTGAGGGTAGCCTTGTTCGAGCAGTCAATAACTTCCCACCTGGATCCGCTGGTGGTTCTGGAACAAGCAAAAGTAATAATTAGCAGTGCAAGCGATTAGAAACTATAAACGTCAGTAAATTCATGGTAGAACAGGGGGACAAGTAGTCCTACTAACGCTCCGAAACGAGCCCAAGTAGCGCAGTAATTACAGACGTGGCGCCGCATTTTCCTTGGACTTCTGCTTATCTCTCACCATGCAATGTCTCTGACTGAAGACAACCTGTACGCTTACCACCAAGGATCCTGATCCCCCTATGTGCGAGCAGAAGGGTTTGCCACATAAACACCGAAGCCACACGAGCACACATTCCACGATAATCGGGTGGGTGGGAAAGTGAGCGGAACTCATAATCACTGTGCGTTCCTGACTGGCTATCCCTTTTCCTTACGGTATTGGAACGATATGCGCGCCGATAAGGACAACACAGGGTTTCAGATTTTCCGCCCATTGGGTTGTTGCGAAATGTGTCTTTAACGTTGCAATGCGTCCAGGCACTTTCTATCGTCGCCGCAACATGGATCTCCTGGACCAGACCCACATTGGTGCGGCAAAGTGTCATATGGATGTCCTGACCCATATTCCGCAAACTCCAAAAGATGGCCGACGTCGTCATTCTGAGGCTTGAAGCAATCGTAATCCCAACCCCCATTTGGAATTCCTTAACAACTTCAATCACCCTTTTACGAAAAAAAACACATAAGAGTTACAAAAGAATTTCTAACCAGGGTCTAATTTCACTGCGGTCAGATGTGCGCAGGAGATCCATATTGCAGTGACTTGCAAAAGTGGCGCCCAAAATGGCGTTGCTCGAGCGACGCATGCACTACGAAGCCCAGGGGCAATGAAATACCACATGGCCGCGCGCGCGATGACATAGTTTTTATGCGTTCCCACAATTCGGATCTCCTGGCCTGCATCGGCAAACAGCCCATGAAGGCGATATTGGACTAAGTGCAGTTCTAAACATCAGGAGAGCGCACTTCGGCTTAATGAGGACATTTTTTACCTACTGGAGGGAGAGAGGGGGGGGGTGCTTCATGGGCTGATCTCTCACTGCCAGTAGCTCCTGTGGGGACCAGTAAATTCCTGCAAAGCTATGCAACAGCAGCAGTTTCATTTACATTTGATAAGAGTTCACAGGTCTTGCCACGGTGATGTGTTATTCAATAGAAACTAGATATAAGATACCAACCAATGTGCAAAATGCCCCTCCCGAGGCGAACAGCGCCCACTATGTGTGTATTTTTCAAACAACTCGCTGACTAACCGTTATTCTCATTGCAACTTGACGATCTTATATGGGGAAATAATCGATCGAGACTAGAGTCAGCATCTCGTCTCGCTGATGGAATCGCAGACAACGCATTTCGGTAACCATTTGTGATCGCTCGTAATGCTTCGCCCTCCATTTGCCCACGGTACTTGACAAAATTCTCAACATAATCGGCCACCTATAAAGGGAGAAAGGCATAAATGACGTGTGAATGAAGGCCGGTTGAAGCTTTCTGCAATCAGATAGCCTTGTTCGCTGCGGATGCTGGGACGTTCCAGGGGGCTGGGATTGGCAGGACGCCAACCTGTTCTACTCCAATTGTGGAAGCTGGCAGACGACCACGATCGGTGGAGAACAGACTGGCGCCGCGCCAAATTTAGCCCGCCCGAGCGAGCGAAGCGATTGAGAGTGTAAATTCACCTTCGCTTCAGCTACTTCTGCACGTTTCTCGGCTTCATCTCGTTCCTCCTCCATCATTTTCAGCCTCTGCTGCATTTCCAGTATCTTTATCCGAGCGAGACGCTCTCTTTCGGCCGTCTACTAGCTGTCGGTTTCTTCCGCACCAGTCAGCCTCGATCCTACAACAGGAATGAATACTTCATACCATCACATTTCTTATTGCTTCAAAACGATGTATGGTAACAAAATCTGGGAGGTCATCTGTAACTATCATAAGAAATATCGGCTTCAAAAAGGAGGCTGAATAGAATCCATTTATTATCAACCCTTGGTATTACAGATTTCTAGTTCTTCTTGTGCTAAGGTGTGCGCTCTGGATATGTTGTACCGACTCGTCTGGTCTTTTGTGCTCCAGCTGTGAATTCCATGGCAGTCTATACCCCTAGCGGATCCTTTCCCCTTTTTTGCGCATACTCAGCCTACGAGTATTGTTTACTAATCCTTTCGAGGTGCTCTCGTTGTTTAATTTTTCACTTTTAGCGTTATTATTTGCTTTTTGCCTGCTAGGAGGGGGCAAACGGTCGCATGCCTTTGCTTTTACTTTTCACCGACCCCCTCTACAATCAGAAAAAGTACACGCCCCCAGAAACTTACAATCAAAAACTCATCGTAAAACCAAATTTTTATTACAAACTCTCTTATGATTTACTCGTGTTTTTTCCCTTTCTGCTCCTATTTTGTGTCTGTTTCTTTTTTTGTTGAGTTGAAATCCTACTTGGTTTGTTACTAACCCAGCCCGTGCCATGGTTTTATTTTCTTTTGTGCTCACCTAGAGTTCGCGAGTGGAGACGCTCCACACGATATCATTTTTTCACCTGGGCTTCTGTCTCATGATCCTTCCCTTTCAAAGATGTAAGATGGCCATACTTTCTACGAAATCGCATATGCACGGGATCTACTCGCAGGTGAGCGCACAGTTTGTCTTAAAGGCACAGTTCGCGACCGCAAATTGCGGGAAACGGAACTCAAATAGGCACAAAAAAGTGCTAAGTATCTGATTAGCGGAGAAAAGCAGCAGAAAAAGCAGTCCGAAATGTTATAGAGAAAGATAACATAGTGGCTGACTAGCTAGTTCAGCCAGCGGTCGAGCAGGTTGGCCGGGCCTAAGCGCCGCCGGTGTCCACTCCGTGCCGCTAACTTACGTCCCACCGCTTCTAGCCGGAGTTCTTACGGCCCCGTTTCCTTTCCTCACCATTTTGAAAGTAGCCGCAGCCCTACGCAAACTCGCTCCGCTATCGTCCGACACTTTGGAGCGCTCATACGCCCTTATTTTCATCGCGATGTGCCTTTAAAGGGCACATTCAGACTTTCACTTAAACCATGCAGGTACCATAACGTAATTCCAGCTACTTGAATGGTGAAGCAAAACAAACCATTTGCTTAGTAATTTCTTCTTCTCGTCGTTTAACATGAGCTTCAGCAGTGCTTTCAACCTTTCTGAGTTTTTCCTTGAGTTCACGGATCGTTGCCATCCTTTGATGTCTACCTTACATTTAGTCGAAGCATGACTAGTGTTAAGATGGCATCGAACCATGGGAGAGGTGAGCCATCTTCGCCGGCTCCACAGGATTCCGAGCACCTGCCCCTTGCATGTCTCCCGGACATGCTCGGTGCGGCAAGCCGCAAAAGTGGCAACAATGCTTGCCTTCCAACGGGCGTGAGTGGGGAAAAGGGGGGGGGGGGGAATATCGCACTTCAGCTAGTTCCTTTTGCAAGTTCATCCTAACTAACGAACCTCACCCTGGTAAGACCTGGGAACTCTTGTGAAGCCGTGAACATGGTATAGGTGAGCCCTTTCCATTGAAGGATTCCCACAGATATTCACAAGGTCGACCTGTATACAGCTCCGATGATATTATTCTCGGAGTTCTGCACCAAGCTGAAATACGCATAACCCCAGCGCTTTCCGCTGTAGTCTGGACTGACTGGGGCGAGGAAGTGGGCGGAGATTCACAATAGCGTTCTGTTCATTGGGAGCACTCCCTCTTCTCCTTATAGTACGCAGAAAGCACCAACTGAAGGACAACGAAGTGCTTATGAATTGCATCGCCCACTTCCCGATCAATCTGATTAACGCGCGCGAATGTCTTCAACCAACTTCTGCACATTTAGCTTGAAGAGTCTCATCTTTCTTTCTCAGGTCGGCCATGAGGTCATGTAATCCAGATTCAGCTTCTGAAACTTGTGCTCTGATGAAAAGATTGCATTGAGTCACACAAAACTAAACTGCTTTTATTTGATAAATTTGCACTTTAACTGCACTTGATCCTAAGCTGCTTGTCTCAAGTTGATCAGTGTCGATTCCTTCAGTCGAATCCTCTCGAAGCGCACATATCCAGTGATTCTTGTTCGCTTCCCTTCTTACTTCCTAACACATCCCTTATCCCAGCCGATTCCTGGCTCTCCGGAAGTAACAAAACCAGAACAACGGTCCCATATCGTCTCCACAATGAATTCATGCACAGCTTTGCCAAGGCGTGGGTAAAGAAATCCTAGTCGCAGCGGCGCAGCGGCGTTACATGCAAAACGAGCCGCAACAATCATCACGCTGCCGCAGCACTGATTTTGTGGCCTGCGCGCAAGCCTCACGGTCTCCATCGAGAGTACTAACACTCACTCATTGGGCATGCATCTCCCTTACGACGCCACCGCAAAAAGTTGTTTGGATGGAGGCTCAGCCCCGTCCTTCTTTCGGCTCATAGCTGAGGGCCGTTGTGTGTTTGCAGTTGATTTTGGACGTGTTGCTCCTGCCCAGTGCAAGCGCTTGCTTCTGAAATCCATCACACATTTATCCGAAACAAGCAAAAATTATCTCCTTCGGCGAATAGGTTCCTCATATTACCCAGGCTTCGCTGCGAAACTGATCCTCCTGTCAACGCAGAATAATGAATCCGATATAAAAGAAAGTAATAGATACTTGCGTTTGGCCCATAGCAGGGCGAAAGTGCAGGGTTTCATGTCGAGCGATTAGCATCCGATTTGTCGAGAAAAGATGACGCGACAAGGATCTCCGAAGTGATATTTTCCAGGGGTATTCGCTGCCCTCACTAGCATGGTGGGGGAAATGAAGGGACCTCGCAGGGAGCCGCTCCAAGTGGGCAGGGGTGACTACCCTTATCTCTTTCCGGCCTGACTTCCGTTGAGTCCTTCCAGTCTTGCCCAAAGAAAGCAGACGAGGAGAAGCTGGGAATGTCCGCGCTGCGCTCCAGCGCGCTGAGCGGATAATGAGAGGAGCTAGGGTCGGAAGGTGCAACAAAGGCCTAATGATGGAAGAGATCTGGTCGTTCCCGAGAATGGATCTTTCCTACCAAACAAAAACCAGCTTACCCTTACCGTCCTGGAAGGTACGCCAGGTTTGGTTGGCTTCCGGCGGCCGAACACAAAATCCACCCCAAGGATTGCACGAGTGGTAAGCATTCTACTTGTCACTACATCATCTCAAAGCGGAGAGCGAAAGTATAAACAGTTAAGTGTGGGGACAAAAATCGAAACTGAATACGAAAGCGCACCCTTCTATCTCCCCTATCCTATTCTCAAACCATTGCGAACCACTGTGCTCCACCAAAAAAAGAGGAAAGGATAAAAAAAGAAATCCGCTGAAAATCATTTAACCTGCTTCCCACAATTCACGATCTCTGCCTGAGCGACGTTTGCTCCAACTCCACCCGTAACGCATCGCGATAGCTCTGTTTTGTCCGATGACCACCGCCCGCCATCTGAATAACAAAGGACCTTAGGCACCGTGACAACCGACGCGCAGTCAAAGCAAGACCGTGCATATCTAAAGATAGGCGGCGCAGTCTCGGGCTTCGAAACAACCACCCCCCCGCCTCCAACAAGCCGGCGCAGTTCGCGCCGTGGGGAGGGCGGAGGCCCGGCGGGCGACGCCCCCGGGGGAAGATTTCTGCACTCTTTTTTCCACGTCCCCTCATCGACCTATTGCCACCACGCACGCGCTCTCTCGTGTTTGACAAGCCTTTCATCATTGTCGTCTTCATGAGCCTTGACTCCAGCCCTCACCGGAGTGTGCCTGGTCCTCATCGTCCCAAGTTGCTGCCACCACACCGCCGCAACCCTAGTGGAGGCAACTGCCACAAGCTACCGCAACATACCCCGTCGCCACCGAAACTGCGCCCAACACTATTGATACCCGCCACGGAGTTTATATGTCTAGAAAATGTAACTAGCGAAGGGTAATTCCGTCACCCTTCTCCTTTCTCACCCTCAAGCCCGAACGCGCACAACGCGCCCCACAAACAAACTCCCAACAAGACCTCCAATGTACACTCTTCCACATTGAATAACCACCTTACTCGCTCAACCGAATCGTTAGTGTTGACCACCACGGACAACTTTGCGTTCCGTAACGAATCTGCGCAACAACGCTCCCTAAAAGGCATTTTTCCTCGTTTTGATCACTAAGGCAGAATGCGATTCTACCTCACCAGCTGAGTTTCATGACTTCCTTCGCTATGAAGTTCGCTCCTTCCTCTCGTTCACGCTAAACGTGACAACGAAGGCGCGAGCGTTCCCAGCTCGTCACGTGCGCAGCTCAATTGCAGCTTCTCTCTTAAAACGATTAATTAAAATAAAGGAGATAGCTCGGACAAACACCGTACCTAAGGCGCGCCTGACGGCGAACAATCAGAAACCCAAACCAAAAATTTGCGACAAGCCTAAATACGCCTCCTCATTGCTTTTATAGGCCATGCGATGACTATTCTACAGAGAGGCTTAGTCCTCAATCAATCTTCAAAAAAAGTGAACTGGGTTAAAGTTCAAAGTGAAGCACTATGCCTGCCTCCGTCCGGCCGCTAATCTTTCACAGATTCTTCTAGCAGGCGTGCACCCACCCCAGCCTGCCTCCGGCAGCAGTCAAACTCTTTCTGAGGTAGATTACCACTGAAAAGTGAAACATACGTTTAGTTCGTTCAACTCTGCTTCAAATGAAAGCGATGGTTGAGCAAAGAAATTTCCATCTCCATAAATGTTGCAGATCTTCTGCATATCTAGAGCCAGTTTGGAGAATATCTTGTCCATTTGACCGGAGAGCCTGAAACTGACAAACGTTTGAAACTGCATTCATGTCAACTGCCGAAAAACAACAACTAGGCGACTTAGCTTTGAAAAAGCCAAACGGCGATAGTTTTGCGAGGGAAATTTCTGCCTGTTAACCAAGTTTCGAAGAAATATACTGAGACCGCAAATCTTGGATATTCGCAAAAGAATGCCTCAAGCCGCTTTCACTTGATCCAAAATGTAAGAGTGCCTTCATAGCGTTTCGAGGGTCCACATGCGCTTTGAGCGTACCAGCGCCTAGATCGATACACATACTTTCCTAGTTGCTGAAAAAGCAGGCGATCGCTCAAAACTGGATTGAGACCTATACTTTCCTAATCGTCAAAGGCTTGGAATGCAGACAGACGCTCAAAGGCTGCCGCAAAGCATGAACGCACACTTACGATAAAGAAGGAGAGTGGTCAATGCCAAACTATCAAGCAATCCTACAAAAAAGTTCATAATAACACACTTTTCACTGGTCATTACAGACTTGTTTTCAATACATGTTCGATCGTCGTCTCTGTGATCGTCGAATCCTTCCTCATCTGGCTGTAAGTCGTGAACGCCATTCCCCACTTCGGAGTGACTCCTGAAAATGATCAAGCGAGGATGATGATGAAAATGAAACGTTGATAATAATAATGACCGATAAATCACATTACAAGAAATTATAGTACATTAAAGAAGAGTAGCATTAAATAGTTCGAGAAAGGGCCGAAAGAAAACAATTTTCATCAGAGTTGGCCTTATAGAACGGTCGCGACCCTTTCACTCAACATTTGCAAAATAGGAAAGGAAAAAAATGAATTCAAAAAAATAACACACTTCGGAAACCTTCGTTTGAAAAAAGGAGACTTGCATCCACCACTCATTATGGTTTCTCTTTTTCCATGTGGAGATATACAAATAGATCAGCCAATTCCCAAGCCTGCACATCCCGTTCTCCTGCACCCCTCGACGGCAGCTTTTTGGTGGGGGAAATTTTTGGAAAAATCCGCAAAAATGTGGAAGAAAAAGGGGAAGCACTTATATAGACGGTAGGAAGGATGTGAGATGGGGGCGTGGAGGGCAGTACCAGAGGAAATGTGAGGGGGACGTCCTTTGCAAGGTTCTCCCCAGGCACAACATGCTCAGAGCGCAACTTCAAAACTCATTACACTTTTCCCTAAGCAGTGACCCAAATATGTAAAACGGGCGCTATTCGAATGGAGTAGCGCAGTAGCACACACTCCAAGGCTACCTTCCCTCCTGGTGAGCAGACTTTTTGGCCTACTAAACTGGAATTGGGCCCAGAATCAAATCAATTACCACCAAAATAATGGATAATGAACGGTGCAAGGAAAAACTTGTAAGACAGGGATATGATTCTTTCCGAGCTTACGGGAGAGAACTACAGGTGGGCAGACTTTTTGGCCTACTAAACTGGGATTAAGCCTAGAACCAAATCAATTACCATCAAAACACTACCTACTGTCGCCGGTATGGCTTCCAAACAATTTTCGAGATGATGCTGGACGTTGACTATGGCTTGCATTGTATTTCATGGCCTCAGCTCCGACAGGAATAGACGAGCCAGTGGAATCAACCGGAGATAGGCAATGTTCCGTGCTCATACTGAAGCCTGGATGCAATTTTGAAAAAGTCCGTAAAAAATGGCTGCTGAACAGCTCAAGTAACATAGCACGGTCATTAGGTAGTAAATGTCTGCGAACACTTTGTGGTAATGAATACTTTAGTGAATAGAACATTTATTCCCTAACAAATCACAATGACAGTCTTAATGCGTTACCACAGCAGAGAATACAAAAAAATAACAATAAAAAAATAAAACAGCAGCCGGTTAAGCAGATTCATAAGCAATGATGTTCTTTTTGGAAACAATCTACATGACACTGAAAAAAGGGCAAATTATCGAAGGAACTTCCGAAAAATATTACAGAATTACAAAAAATTCCCAATACAGTCCAGTGTAGAGATCGGAACGCGAAGAATTTCTCAGTCACTCCAAATTGACGATTTCAACGTTTTTCGACCCTTCCAGGCTTAGCTCATGTTCCATGTCAAACGTACTTATCATTTCAGCTTCCTTTTCAGCTTCTTTCTCAAGTAACTGGAAATAATATTTATCATTTCGACTTCAGATTTGCATTTCCACTAATTTCACCACTTTACGGACCAAACACATCACTTTTCAAATTAAATTTAACGCATTTGAAAATTGGGCGTGGCTTCCAGAAACTGGGCGCAGCGCCACATAAGGGACGGGGCTTTCGTAGCAGTCCAAAAATGCGAAAATTTTAATCCCTTTTGAAAACTTTTACATTTTAGGCTATTAAGAGAAGTCCCGCCCACTATGTCGAGCTCCGCCCGCATTGTAGAGGCTCCGCCCGCTTTCGTAAAGTGCGTCAAATTAGCAGGTTGGTACTAAAAACGACTCAGATCCTCGCTCGTCACTGGAAGCAAATCTCGCGTGTCTTTTTGGTCCAAACTGAATACAGTGGGATCATTTACCTTGTCAATGTCTTGCTTCATATCCGAGTAGAAACTCTTCACTTTATCCGACGTCTTCGTCCCTAGCACTTCAGCTACAGCATCGAAGTCTTTGCCATACCGCAACAGACCTAGAAAAAAGCTTGTTGATAATTTTAAGACGTGGTGGAATGGGTACATTTAATAGGCTACCTCTACAAAACTGTAATCATCCTAGGTGAGATGAGAACTTTTGCCTAAGCCTAAAGGAGGAAGGAGCTCCTGGAAGGACGAAAGAACTCAGGAGGACTCAGAAGACTGAAATTCTTATGAGCAATCCCAAGTTTTTTGGAATAGTTCTCAAAGCAGTTGGCACGATGGTTTCCTACTTAGCCTAAAATGCTAGTAGGGCGCTGTATAGTGGGGAAATGGCGAAAGAACGGAGTGATCAAAATCCTGCGAAGAAAAAGCCTCCGTTCTCAGTGACTTGTAAATCGATTTCGGACGAGTTTCCCGTAGGCATCTTACCAATCACCGCTACCGAAGATACGGCTGCATATGTGTACCCATGTATGCATGCAGCATCACGGCCGCTTCATACCAATCCCTTCGCTTCATAATTGCTTAGCAAATGAATCGATTAGAGCGTCAGGAACGGTCGTCCATTTGTGGGCGGGCGGGGCGTTTGGGACGTAAAGTTGTGGCTTGATAGGGCCCTTATGAGGGCACCTTCCTCGGAAACCGCTATGCAGCGCCTGCCCAGGCGGAATTCTATCCTGCCAGGAGTATTGATCCTAATCGCCTTGGGGGATTTATCGTGCCAACTGCCTAAAAATGACCCCAAGGCTAAAAAAACCACAAAAATACACAATATATCAGAACTCTACTAGACAATCCTAATTCTATACTGGAAGTAATTAACGGTACTCACAATGGAATGCTATAATGCGCTCCTCTTCGGTCCATGTATGGCTTCCTCTCACTCGATCACGCCTTGACGAACCTTCCTCATCCCTTCTGTCCTCTTTTGCTGTGAGATATCTGAAAGTGGTCTGATATGACAACGTAATCAATAGTCCATTCAACGATTAGCTAAATGAAATAGTGCCCCCTCCACGTAAGCAAAGATAGTGGGGTGCAAGTTAAGATACTGTGCTCATTCACGAGCTCAAGGCCGGGAAAAAAGACACCACAGCCCTAGCACGCTGGAGTACCAGCTGACGCGGCTCTGATGTGAGCGAGTTAGGCGAAAGCAACGGTGTATGTCACTTCGATTTTTGACTTTTCCACCCCAACATCACCTGGACTCCCATCAGGACTCCTGGTGTTTCTTGTCTTCATAATCACCACCCAAAACCAGCTGAGAATGAATCTTATTAGCCGTTCAACTCACCCACTCACTCAACCGTTCCTTTCCGTTTTTTTTCTGCTTTATTAACTTATTGTTAGTACCTCACACTGTCACTCTGAACCATTCTGCACCACGGCAGGCCTGTCTTTGCGGACAATTTCTGCGAATTACAACCCCTCAAAACCCTTAACCCTTCCCTGATGCGATCCCTGGTCCATACCCCATCTTACCTACCATCTCCCAGTTTCTCACCACTTTCCGTTTTTTTTTTCAAAAGTTCCTCCACTTTTTAACAAAAAACGAACGCCGAGCGGAGGAGTGATTGGGAGAGGAACGACATGCCCTGCTCCATATCCCAGTCGTGGAATTCGCTTCTGAAAGCCCTTGAAAACACAACGTCCATTAAATCTGCCCTATAAGCTGCCGCAAGAAATAACTGCAGAAGATTACGCAGCAACTCGGATGCATATCTTTAGTTTAACTTAACAAAGAGGTCGGAAGAACAGATGCAGCAGGCAGGACCACATGCGTGCTACTCAAGCAAGGACCTATCTTATTTAACGTTGAAGCACTGCAGTACGGTGAGTCAACTAGCTAGCAAATGCCGCTGGTTTGCCGAGCAACGTGCACTGGCAATATACGGGAGACCTGCGATTCTACCACGATTTAGTCAGGACACGCCGCTCACGTCGCACGCAGCCAGTCGTGCGGCCACGGACGCGGCAATTTTAGAGTTGCCCTTTCGGTACCCATAAGTTGTTTCTGGAGCAAGGGATTTGCGTTAGTACATGGCGTCCTCGGCAACTTAAAGGAGCTATGAGATAACACAACTCGTACCGAACACTGCGAAGTCGCAAGCCACGCCCACCAGCGCGGCGACCTAGCACTGCCCCACCATTGAAATTGAAAAAAGCCACAATATACATCCGGAAATGAAAAGAGAAATCAACTGAAAGAAGTATAAAATCACCTATAGTTATCCAAACCATTCATGAGTCCTTCAGCTCTCTGTGCCTTCAACGTACACTCAAGACGAATAGCTCGTGAACGAACTCTTGTCAGTTCTCGCATTGCAGCCCTGGAAGAGGAATGAGCTTGATTATGCCAAAAAGACTCCCCAAGAAAAATAGGCAGGTTATTCAGCTACTGTAGAAGTCGAACTCGTACTGTAACCCACTTGGTCTCTTCATAGCACTTCGTCTTCACAGACTGAACAACCTCTATATCGTCACAAGTATTCTCATCACTAGCCGGTCTTTCTTCCACGTATGTAGACATTTCGACGAATTCCTTGGCAATTTCGAGCATATCTGTAGCAAACTGAGCGATACAGCAAAACAGCCTTGGGAATTCAGTTAGAGGCGCACGCCTTGGTAAATTCCTTATGGAAATGCTCACCTTCAGGGCATTTTCGAACTCTTCTCTGGCGAACTTCATTTACAGTCGACGCATAATTACACGGACGATGTTTACGCATCAATCTAAAGTCAACAGCGTGCTATTACGGGGAAACTTTATTTGATTATGGCAAGTTTACAAATTTATCCGCTACGATTATTATTTGATAGAAATAGTCTTACTTGTAATAAACGCGACATACGTAGCACAGCTTCACATCGTCTATAGTATGCAGGGTATTACACTCCTCTCCACAATTATCGCAAAGACCATCTTCATAATCCAGTTCATCGTCAGAACTGAAAAAAAACTATTATAAGATTGCTGTGATATAGATTAAAAACAACACACCCCAGACGGGATTAGAACGCCCACCTCCCGTATATCGGGCGAGAGCGCTAACCTGAATGTAACCAGGACCGCTCCGACCCTCTCAAGGGATTTTGTGCCATATCAGTACAGCACTCACACGTCTAACGTGATGAAAAAACATGAGTTATCAAAAGATTTTGCAAAACGAACACAGTAATGTTAAGAGAAAAAAAAAACTTGAAGACGCCTTCCCACGATAATCGAGGGCAAGGACAAAAATCATCGGTAAGCCCCTTTTCCTTTCTGTGTCGGAAAAGATTTGATGAAGGTGGAAACGCAACAGCTGTGAGCCCCTGCCCATCTGATTATCGGGGAGCGCAGATAAATAAAATACGACCCCCACCAAATACGATTCGCTTAGCAATGACGTATACTCTAGTTCGCTGCGGATGAAAGGGTGTACATGTGCCGCGACGCCAAACCCGTTCTTTGCCAATTACTGAAGCGGGTATGCGACAACAACTGGTAGAAAACGAGTGATACGAACGATATGATACAGTCTTGTCACTTGCTCGCTTCAACAGCTGGTGGAGAACGGGTCGCACACCGCGCCAAACTCATCCCGCCTGACACGCCCCTTTGTCGACAGCGAACTAGACTGTGCATTGAATAGTAAATATGAAGATATGTGACAGACGTAACATGCCCCGCTGGTGGGCGCGGGGAGCGTTTATGACGAGCTGTCCTGCCCAGTCGGGATTGATTGGACTTGAAACTGAGTGCTAGAGATGGGAAAACACGACATCGCCCACTATGACGTCTTGTCTCCGCTTGAAGTTAAAGTAACTTCTTCGCTGCTCCAACTGGCAGAATGATATATTCACATCAAGGACTTGCCGCACTTCGCAGCACGACACGCCGCGCGCGACGACGCGACAAGGTACGATTGTCTTGCCCATCTCCCGAGGACGGCGGAGAAACGAAGAGCACGTTACGACTACCAGTAACTAATTCTATTGTGGAGTGAATAGACAGACTGCTATTTCTATGAACCTATACATCTCTAGCCAACATAAAATGAACCAATTCAAACCGTAACAATGAAATGAAAACAGCAAATGGTCATATAAATAAGCCCCTGAAAAGCCAGTAGGTTTCATTCGTCTTTCTGCTGCACAACCTGAACGAATTGGGTAACTGCCTTCACTACTGGACATCGTGCAGATTGGCTGAATGTCTACAACGACTAGCACCGCAAAATCATCCGCATTTTCCGACTATAACGAGAAGACTGGGTCAGATCGCACTGAACTCACCACGACATGCACCTCTTGTCACGTCAGCGTGGATTCAAGGAAGTTCGCTAATACAGACAAGTAAGTTTGGATGATTTGAGTAACTTGCTATGAGAAAGACGGGAGATTAGGTCAGGATCAGGATTAGAGGTTCGAACATAAGTTCTTTTCTGATAGTTAGTAGCCCGGCTTTGAGGGAGGAGCGTTTTCGGACGCGGTTGTAAACGTCGCGGTGGTAGACATTCGCCAATTTAGGTAGAGAAGGGGTAAAGGCGTTTCTTTCCTTGTGCAGTTCGCCTTTTATGCGAGCACTGTTCACGTCTCCGCCTTGAAGGCATGCTCCGGGCTCAAGAATGGAAATTTGTGCGGGTCAAATACTGATGACAAGGTAGTACGTGGATCAGTACTGAGGAAAAAAAATGAAAAAAAGCGCTGGCGGAAACCCTCTACATAGAACTCCATGCTGAACCACACTTGTACATGCATAAGGTGAAGATGGGGCATGGTCGGACGGGTTCTCATTGATAACAGCTATTTCTTCTGATCACTTCATTTTCACCATGAAACGGAGATTAGCAGCGGAACATCTGTACCATCAGGTACAGCTAAAAATGAAAGTTGGGCGTGGCCGTGGCCTGTGGACGGAGCCTTCGTCCCGTTGCGAGCGAGGTGGCGCTTTCTTCACGTGTTTTTGAGCCGCGAAAATGGTACATCCTCGCCCCCCCCCCTCAGGCAGGACTACCCCTGTCCAAAGGCATCTGGATATCAAATGTACACACAGCGTGCTTTAACTGGCAACTATATATCGCAGATGCGCTCACAACCGATTCCATGGGCTTTCCCCCTTCGACGATGAGATATGAGATATGAACGGCACCCAGAAGTACATTGTTTGCTATCGTAATCGAAGAACTACTACTTCCAGGTTCAAATTGAAACCGGGTGAATTTTTGCACGACTTTGAAGGTTCAACAGCATCTAAACAATCCTTAGCGTCGTTTATACACCATCTCTGCGCCTCCAATGTCTATCGGATGTTCTTCTCTTACACACAAGTCCTTCAGGTAGAAGTCAGGCAACTTTAATAGCATGCAAAACTAGAGGATCGGGGAATCGAGGAAAATCGGAGAGAGCGCTCTTTGCGTCTCCTATTCGCCGATTCTCCAGCTCTCAGACTCCAGTTTCGCAAAGTATGAACGCGACCTCACAAACACGTCAAATGTCTGGGCATGCAAAAAAAACCACTATTCATCGGTTTTAGAACGACGCTCATAAATGCAGCACAACATATAACCGATTAAGTCAACACAACAGATTCAGTGACATTCCTTGTATAGAAGAAACACGAGTTCATGTCAAGTAAGTGTGGAAAAGACCTCTTAAAAGCTCTAGGCGCTAAGGTAACACATCTACAATCTTGTTCGCTGCGAATGAAGGGGCATGTCAGTGAGGCTGGGTTTGACGCGCTACAAGCCCGACTCCACTTAGGCTGCGTTTATACTTTGCGGCAGCGTAGCGTAGCGCTTCCAGCGTACGCCAGCGGCAGTGTCGGGGAAAGGATAGATATCGATCTAGCGTTCCCAGCGTCACCAGCGTAACGCTAGCGTAGCATCTAGCGCTCCCAGCGTTTCACGAGCGTTTCACTAGAGTTTCGCTAGCGCTTGCAGCGGCAGGGAGTAGAGACTATGGGATAGTAATAGGAGAGTATTCTGTACTCTTCTATACTCTCTAGCGCCGCCAAGTAGTTTTACTCTCCTACTCTTCTATACCCTCTAGTGCTGCCGAGTATTTTGTACTCTCCTACTCTTCTATACTCTCTAGCCCGCCGCTGGCAAACGCTAGCGAAACGCTAGTGAAACGCTGGAAGCGCTACGCTACGCTGCCGCAAAGTATAAGCGCAGCCTTACTGGCGGGGTAAGCACAACAACTGGTGGAAAACGACTGATACGAACGATATGATCAATTCGTTTTTCAATTCAAATTTTGTCGAAAAAAAAAAAAAAAAAACGGGCCGGCGGCGCGCTAACCCACCCGCCTTGACACGACCCATCGTTTGCAGCGGTTGTACGTGGTCGTGTCAATTTTCTGCTAGAGGCAATGGGCGGCTGGGGGGGGGAGGTCTGCCAGCGTCATTGATGGAAAGTCTGCGAAGCGACCCTTGACCATACCTCACTCATTCCTTCCACCAATGACAATGGCGGCCATCCCTCGCCCTCAGCTATCAAGCCCACTGCCTTTTCAGGTGTGACATGACGTGTCACCGGCATCAAAACGCGTCAATGGCGTGCCTTGAGACTAACAGATTTCATATCGTTGTCAGTGACTGTTGTCACTGACAACGATATAAAACGAAATTTCCAGTCTCTAACATGCTGAGTGACACCTCATCTGCCAACTCTCACCAGGTAACCGACCTGTGCCATACCAGGTGAACAGTAAAATAGCTTATATGAGCCAGTACCGATCTGGCCACTACCAAATGTAAAAATTTCTCTATTCTCGAGATAATTCAGACATCCCGTAGAAGATCACGACTATATCCATGCTAACTGGGTGGATGGTTATCGGGAGCCTAAGAAATTTATCGTCACTCAGGCTCCTCTATCACGATCTATTGATCAATTCTGGAAGATGATATGGCAAGAGAAGAGCTTAATTGTGGTGTCTATGATACAAACAGTCGACATTCCCGGAGCAGAGGTTCGGTGATAATTTCGAGACAATAAAAAACCAGTTGTACGGGTTGTATGGGTGGAAGTAGCGCAGCGATATGTGGCGCAGCTGCCACACGCCTGTTAGCAGGATCAATCCCAGATCCGGAATCCGGACCAGGACAGTTGAGCTTCCCTCCAAAAGGAGCCGGCAGTGTGATGGCAGAATCGTATGAGAGGGTTAAAATGCTAAGATGGCTTCCTCGAAATTCAATGTATAGGCTGAATGGCAGGTGACTGGAGAGACTGCGCCACGTAGGTATCGGAAAACGTAGGTATCGATCTGACGATTGGATAAAATCGGCGATCCGACGTTTTGGGTGACTTGGCGTTTCAGGCAGTTGTGTGCCAAGGAAGTGGATGGGTATCGATCGGTACCGGACCGTGAATCTCGCCGAAAGTGACCAATCGCTGGAGCTCCTTAGTCGCTAAGCATAAGCATGAACGCGACTTTAACGGCACCTTCCGCGTTCATTTGATGGAAAAACGCCGCCCTGGGCAATAAAGTCCACTCACCAAGCACAGAGGATGTAGCACTTTAACGGAATGAAATTACAAAAAAAACCACGTCCTCCGGTAGTCACGAAAGCAATGCTCCTCTCAGTGCCACATAGCACACTCAATGTTCATTTCCAAAAGCTTCCCGTGATACGCGACTAGATTTTCCCATTTCTAATGGTGAGAGTGAGGTGATAAAGGTAGAGTGGACACCAACAAATGAAAACTAGTCCAAATACGCCCTTTCATCGCCGTACGTTGCACGAGCTCTGATTGGTAGGGGAGAAGGTTCATCTTGGGATTTCGGACGGTTTTGGCTTCTTTCTTCCACTACTTGCTTTCTATCATGTCGCTAGTTTTCGAGCCCAAAAACACACCATTTTTGACTGCGGGGTGAGCCTTTGAGTCTATCCATTACAGCAAGTTTCAGAAGCACTCACAGCGCTGATGTAGTTTGATTAGCAGCGAGGTCACATATTCCATGAGCTCGAGCCAAGGTGATTCCCTCGGGAGCTTGCTGACCATGACCAGCCTTAATTTGTGCTCAGCTGAGGAGGTTGAAGAGTTCTAACTCAGACGGCGACCCAGATGCACCTAACTACGATCATCATGTACCGTACTAGAGCTGTAACTGCTCAATGTATTAATTTTTAGTGGAGCGGCTCGTATACTCCAAAGCCTGGTGAAACTACCATTCATGAGAAAATTACTCTACAACACTGTGGTACTCGAAGAATCAGGGATTCATACGACGCCACTCTGATAAAAGTATCTGCGAAATTTCTTTTTGTTTGCTTTGCACTAACATAAGGAGACATTTCACAAGCTTTTCCTACGACGAGCTCTCATTACACCAATTGCTTCGGTGAGAAATTGGTTGAGCACTCCTATGCGGAACAGCGCCCTAGTTTCTATTTCACCCGGATCATCATTCTCCATTCCACGTCTCCCACCAACCCTCTTCATTTTTTTCTCTTTGTTAGTGTCATCTCCACAATCCATATAAGGCACACTGATGGGGCTTGTCAGGGGGTAGGGTGCCAGTCGCTCCCAGCGGTGTCGCATTTTCTTTTAGTTGCCGATTCAGACTATAAACTACTCGTAGAAAACGCGGCCGCTGATGGGCTTAATTGACGCCTGACACTCACTATCAATGCGGCGCGTTACGGGCTGTAAGTAAATCATGAAGGTCTTCTACAGTGTG